GAACTGCCCGGTATTCGGCGCATAATTGTAATCTGTTATTTTCCCCTTTGATTCATAATAGGTCACTGAACCAAAAACTCAAATCATACAGCACCAGAGCGTCAACAGCGTAGACCCCTATAAACTAAATTCTATTTTTACGCGATTTTAATCAATATGATTTTGCCCTCATGCAGCATGGGCAAAGCCTTTTGAATACCATCATAATTCTTGTTGATTTTTTTTTTGTGATTTTTTGAAACATTTTTTTTTTTTTTTCAATTGGAGATAACACGATCAAAAATAGAGGGGGGAAATAGTGTAAAAATATGATTGAGTGTATTCGACCTGCAAATAGATTAGTCCCACCTTAATCAACCTACTAAGTGCTTGGTGTTATGACATGCTGATAAAGCAATATTAAAACGGGGAGTATATCGCAATAGATCTAAGTACTTGTCGCAGTGATCAAAATACCCAACAGCGTTTTTTTTTTTTTATAATTCTTTATTAAAGAGATTTTTAGCCTTAGGCTAGTTCATCTCTAAAATACCCAACAGCGGATTTAGAGAATGAAAGTTTAGAAGTCCCATCAGAACCGCTTGAACCATTCATGGAGTCCCTGGATTTTATTGACTGTGGGACCCCGAAGGTTTAGTAGCAAATTTTCGAAATTTCACATCCATAAGGTATACCAGATAAGACCTAGGAATGCATGACATAATTGCAATACCTCTATACTTTTTAATATCTGACCGTTTGCCAGATTTGAATAGTGGGACTAAAAATGATTTCTTTAAATTTTTTGGAAAATCACCTGTTTTGAGAGATAAATTGTAAATCCAAAACAATGGTTTAACAAAACTGGTTGCTGATTCTTTCAATAAAAATGGAGGTATTTCATCAGGACCAGCTCCCTTGCCGGCATCGATACCTTCAAGAGTCATAAAAACTTCTTGAACAATGATATTATTAACTGATACGTCATTTTCCCCTTTTATTTTTTTTTCCTTTGATTTGTTTTCCGTTGATCTTGTTTTCCGTGCTGAGCACCAATTCCACCGACGCCAGGGAGGCAGCTCCCACACCTGGACCCTACCTATCGACCCATCAACTCATGAACCGGGGACCAACGGCTTTACTTCCCTTCCGAAGGAAGGCGTGATCAGAGATGTTATGCCTCAGAATATCCCGGCGGCGCCGACTGGGATTGAACCCAGGCCAGGTGAGAGGTAATCATGCTTACCACCGGCGCCGCTGTTTTTCCCCTTTAGGTAGATAAGAAAAATAGTTCAAATAGAGAACATTACTGGATTTCTTATATATGTTTTGGAAAAAGCGAGCAAATTGGCTCCAAATATCCTCACTATCAGTGCTATCAAACTCTTCAAACTGCATGCGCGATGGGAATGTACATGACTTCATTTTTTCGTTCGCGTAGTTAAAGAACGTTTTGGGATCAGGTTTTATATTGTTCTATACTCTTGAATTGTAATTCTCATATGCTGACGATATTTCTGCATGATCTGCGTGCTCTGCAAATATCAACGTATTTTTCTAAATTTTGTGAAGTTTTAAACTTTTCATACGACTTGTGTGCTTTTTGCTTCCTGCTTTTAATATTTCTGATTTCTTGTGTATACCAGAAAGGTATAGTGGTGCTGTTCTCTATTCTCTTTAGTCTTTTAGGAACGAATGCTTCAATGATATTGTACAAGTTAGTTGTAAATATGTCAACAGCCTTGTCCATGTCGTTTTCATCTTTTAATTTTTTTTTGACAATTTATGTTATTCAGTCTGCTGTGAAATTCAGGAAGAATTGCATTTTTAAAATCATAAACTAATTCAAAATCAACAACGCTTGGGCGTGACCTATGTGAGTCTGTGAACACTGAGTATGCAATAGCCGTATGAAATTTTTCATTCTTCCATAATGGACCTGCTGCTTCTACAATACAAAAATCTTATGTACAATTAGTAAACATAAAATCTAAATAGGAATTGAACTGGTTATGGACATGGTTAATTTGATGAAGTCCTAAGTGGCTGCTTTTATCAAAGATGAATTGCAAAGTATCGTTTTCACCTCTAATTGGTAACTGCAGAGAATCATTATCACTATCCTGTATACAATTAGCAGTATTCTCGCTTAACATTTGAAAAGGGCCTATCTTCGTTGATCAATTCTCTTTATCGACTTTCTCTTTGGTTTACCACGGCAAAATAAACGAATTTCTCGCTAAGCTCACAGCACAGTTCATCAGAAGATGATGTTTGCTTGCGCCTGAAACAACATACTGAATGGGAAATTCATTTGCAGTCGGATTATTTGCGAAAGAGAAAATCGATGAAGAGAATCGATCAACAATGATTGGCCCTTTTCTCTTGTCGCTCGAATATTCTGGTAAAAATCTTCATAAATATGAATTTTGGTTCTTGGATCTTCTCTTTGAATTTTCAGTTCTGCAGTAGTGAAATTTTTTTCGTTAGCAGGTTTTCTGGAAAAGGAGACAGAAGCGAAAAGATGTTCTTCACCGTTTATTAAAATGTTAACCCACACATCTTCAAATTCTTTTTGTCTTTCACTAGCAATTTGTTCAGCTTGAAATGTACATTCACAGCAATAAGCACACCACCACCTGATGTTTTACCTGATAATGATAAATTGCGGTCTCATCGAAACACACTGGATTTACTACCAAAGACCTCTTCGCTATTAATACTTTCAGGCCAACTAGTTTCTGTTCCAATTATTATATCATCATATGTGCAGCCGCTTATTTTATTTTGAATTCCGTTTATTCTATACCCACAACGCATATTGTAAAAATTTTGGCAATAGACTGTAGTTTCACATAAAAAAAGAGTTGCTTGATGAACTAGCGACATGGTCACTTACAGCACGACGTAAAGTCAGGGGGTGAAGTTGCTGCATACTGTCCGAAATCCCTCAAGTTATGTCCTTGATCCTCGGGCTCAGGTGTATTGTCATATTCTACCTCAGGTGAGTGCGTCAGTTGGTGCCGAAAACACGCATGTCTACATGTGCACGGCTGACACGATGTATAGGAAGAATTCCCCTGCATCGTAGGTTGATAATTAACTGGCGCACGGTGGGGCAGCGAAGCCATTCGTGTGGCCAAAACCTCTAGCGCCGTTGATTTGCTTTCTACAGCAATACAATGTTGTACAAAGTTGCTCAATACTAAAAGCGCCATCTTGTGAAAGTTTCATATTAGTTCATTTTTACGCCACATAGGTGGCACTAGAGTCTATCTTTTGAACGGAATATCCTAGCCGAATGGTTTTCACTGCAAAGTTATGTAATTTGAAGTGTTGAGAAATGTGGTCGAAGCTATTGAAACTCTATGACTCATATTAAGCAAGATATCGGGCAATTAGGAAAACTAACCCCTAAAATTGCGTTTTTTCCTTTTTTTCATCTATATATGTCAAATGTAGAAGTTTTATACTCTGATAATTATCAAAATGGTTTGACTCTTGCAATAAATACCCATTACTTTATATATCATGCTTTATTATAAAGTTATTAACATAAATGTCTCAAAAAAGTGATGCATAAAAATGTCAATTACTCAAAATATAGCAAAAAGTAGCAGCTAATTTTTTTACAGTGATTAGTGTAGACCTGGGTATAATAACGACCACAGTTCAACAGGCTATAGCTTCGGTCTGTTGAAGACATTTTTTGCTGCTGAAAGAAGCTAGCTTTTGGTTTCTGAATCATACAATTCCATTTGTGTACATAGGTGCCAAGTTAGGGTGGACGGCACTTATGCACCCCTCCCTCCATAATTCTCAGTAGGGGCAAAGTATAATTAGGCAATGGGGGGGGGGGCATATAATTAGTATATATTTTACAAATATGAAGTAAAAAAACGTATTCACAAAAAGAAACAGTCTGTAGAACCTGCTATTCCAATGTAAAATATCAATCCATCCATCAATTCAAATTCAATTTTGGAACATTTTGTCTAACCCCAATCAAGTAACCATTTTGAGTACTAATTTTAGTCATAATTTATTATGAAAAATTTTCCAAGGTCTAGAATTTTCGATTTCTTGTCATAAAAAAAAAATTAAAGGGTTGTGTCCTAGACACGATCGCAATATGACGTAGAACCACGAAAAATTGATGTTTGTCATGCATTTATGACTATTATACTTATTATTATGAATGGGGCGGGGCAGAACGTATCTTTTGTGCAGAATATGAAAAAAAAGGATAGACTTTGGATGTTAATCTAATTGCATATATAGAGGTACCAGATATGTTTTACAGTCAGTTGTGTGTAATTCACCAACATAAATCATCAAACATGCCTTTCAAGCAATTTTTTTTCTCAAATTTGAAATTTTGGTGCGGGAAAAAATTAGCGGAAAAACTTTGGTTTTACTAATAATTGTGGAGTTGCTTAAAATTTATTTCCCGGAAAAAAGTGATCATGTCTTTTTCAGGTTGTTCTTAGGGGGAGAGGTTGTTGTTAAGTGGGGAGAGGGGGTTTAACATGCATAATTTAGAATGAGAGACAGAAGAATTAGTAATTTCCATTTAATTCCACTACCTTATTTGCTTATCCTTGACAGATACGCGTATTTCGTCTACAATGTGCAGACTTCTTCAGTGTCTTGTACTAATACTCCGAGCCTTGTAGAATGCTTTAAATCCTCGATAAACTTAGCAAAAATACTAGCCCATCTGGTGGCTGATCGCACAGCTTTTAAGAAAATTTTATTACAGCGAACCACATTTTTTGATAATTTCGCCAGTTAGTCATCTGTCACTTCGCTTGTGGTAAAACTGACTCTTAGTAGGCTGTAAATTAACAGCTCCCAAGTAACCAACAAGCCCCGCTTATTGCCCTTTCAGCAATATAAGGCTGATACACGGTTAATTTGAAGTTTGAAAGCCCTACATTAATCGTGTATCAAATATGACCATAGGTGGTTTAATACCAATTATTTTTTAATTATACTTTTTACCAAAACGGGCAACTTACCGCATGATCTCATTCTCCCGCTCTTCCTCCTGTCGTTGACGTAGCATAACATTTTCAATGATTGCACGTTCCTCCTGTGTCAGATGGGATAAATCAGGCATATCGGCCATTTTGGTAATATCCTAGTGTTGTAAGGAAATACGATGTTCTACGTATTTCGAAGCTTGGTTATCTTATCAGTAAATATAGTTAAGCTATTTATATCTGCAGAATCTGCGGTAGCGTTCAAGTTGTTGTCGTTAGTTGTTACTTAATGCGCCGTTTTCACTGCACTATCTTGCAAAACCAAAAACGAAGCACTATTAGTAAGTATGACTTAAATGCTATTTCGTTATTCTTTCGCAGATGTTTGCGGTTTCCTACACAAATCAGATTTTTCCCTTCTTCACACTATATACAACTCACTAAAACACGACTACGCCTATGCTTTCTTAAAATAGCAATCGTTATAGAAAGTATCCGTGACTATGTGCACTATTGTTGCTATTGTTCACTAGATTACTCTCGTCATTAATCACACATTCGCCCGATGGATATGCATCGGAATTTGTCACTTTGTATTTTTTCAGTTTAGTTTCACATTTTGAGAACTGATACTCGCTGCAGTTGTTGTCATTGTCTTCACCATTGGCTACACTTGAGAAACGAATGTCGCGGTTGCTTTTGGTAAACATTTTCACTTTTTCCGCTAGTGGACACATTCAGGGTGAATTAGTTCTTCGTTACGAATGAACAGGCTTACAAATTTCGCTGGTACAACTCGACGGTGCAGCTCCTCGGTCGTACAAATGGCATGGTGGCCTGAAATGGACGGAAAGCAAGAATATTAAACCACTGAACTAAGCTGCTGTTTAACGATTTAAATGGAAATTTTGTTAAATATTGTGAATAATAATGTATTAAATCTAGTCGGTAACGTAACAAATGAAATATCGTAGAAGATACATTAAAAAGTTTAATAACTAGCACGCATCCAATGTAAGGTTGGATTTATTACATCCTCTTCATATGTTTCATTCAACAAATCGTTTTTTTTTTTTTTTTTCCTTTGGTTTGTTTTTTCCGTCGATCTTGTTTTCCGTGCTGAGCACCAATGCTACCGACGTGCCAGGAAGGCAGCTCCCACACCTGGACCCTACCTATCGACCCATCAACTCATGAACCGGGGACCAACGGCTTTACTTCCCATCCGAAGGAAGGCGTGATCAGAGATGTTATGCCTCAGAACATCCCGGCGGCGCCGACTGGGATTGAACCCAGGCCTGCTGGGGTGAGAGGTAAACACGCTTACCACTACACCACCGGCTCCGTTTCAACAAATCGTTATGTGAAATGATTTCGCGTTAGCAGCTGTAGTTTACTCTCTAATTTGCATGAATTTGAAAAAAAAAGTTGGAGTAGTCTATCCATCAAATGAGAACGTGTTGATCGCATTTAAACATGCAATTAAAATCCCATTTATAAAAATATGTCATTCATTACGGAAATGAGTAAAGACAGCCCATGTCTCCTAATATAGGTATGTACATACATAGCCGCCATTGAATGCACATTATGTAGTTGTCCGCTACATGCATCGCACAACAATGAACGCAACGATCGTCTTCTATGGTTTGAAACGACAAAGGAAGTTTCGACACTGAACACGTTATGTGATGGACGGGATGGAAAGGAGAAAAATCACCGCTTTCATGCGCTCTTTCAATCTGGTAGCAGTAGAATGAACTTCAAGACGGCAGCGGCAGCCAGTGCAGAAGATCTTATCATTTTGCCTCGTTGTTCTCCACTTGCAAGCTGTTGGCAGAGATGCCAGGCTTATTTTGAAAAAATCTGGCAAAACCCGAAAAAAATGTCTGGCAAAAATCTGGCACAGCAAATTAACATAGGAAGCTGCCAGATTTCTCAAAAAATCTGTCTGGCAGAGCTTAAATTTCTCTGGCTATGCCAGATAAATCTGGCAACCTGGCAACGCTGGCTGTTGGCTTTCACTCCACTATGTCAGAAAGAAGAAATCACTTTTGACAATGTGCTCATTTTTCATTTTTCTCTCATGCTGTGTGTCTCCTACGATATGAGCACACAGCACAGTTTTGTGCAAGGATCTCTCTCGGGAACTCAATTTTTCTTTGCTCCTCACTTCAGATAGCCTGTTATTGTCAACACTGCTGGATGGGAGATGCACGATTGGGATGAAGAGTAGGAACGGTTTGCCAGCCAGCGCATGCGCCAAATGTGCCAGTTCCTAGAGAAAGACAGACAGGAGACGAGATCGGTCTATTGGCATGATGTGCCTGATATGTGTAATTGAAACACTGTAAATAACCGGAGGATTTGTATGTTTTTTCCTATTCATAAGAAGCCACAAAAAATTAATATTTCAAGATGTGTGACAAATTCAAATTTGTAATCTTGCAGCAATATACTGAAAACGATTATAGGCCAATCCTTCTTAGTCGTAAATGTTGAATATGAATTATGGAGTTGTAAAATTATCCGGGCAACACGCAATTATGATTTTGGCACGTTATCAATTTTCAACAAACAAATTACAAGATTAAGATAATTTAAAGCAAACTTTAGTAAATCAAAAACAAATATAACGATCAAAATTCTAAGGACATAACTGCGATGATCGATTCTGTTCATCGATTTTCTCTTTTGTTAATAACTCGGTTAGATTAACATTTTTTGGTGTGTTTGATGTTATTTTTACACATTTGTCGCTGAATAATTGTGGTTACTTGTGTGCAACTTATTCCAGTCACAATCAAGTTAGAGCAACTTATTGTGATGGAAGTGTTGCTGCTTGGGTTATATACCTCTTGAGTACACTGTACAGGAACAATTTTGGAAAATTGGTTCACTGCGAATAATAAATCTATAAAAAGAATCGGTCGTCGTAGGCCGTAGACCCTTATGATTCTGAACGCTAGAAGTGCAATATAAACGTTAGCTTTAAGTAGCCGATAATTCATTGTTCATTGTTAGTAACAAAGTTCACATAATTCTATACCTAGTAGGAGTTGGGCCGAATACTCGCGGCTTACTCGAGGTTAGAGGAGAACATTGTCAAGGGAGGAGCTTGGAGATGGGGTTTCGTTGTCTCATCAGAGTGTTGTCACCAGTTTGTACGGTAATGCGGTTTTAGATTCGTCTGGAGTTCAACCGGCTATAACTGAAAACTATTTCATTTGCATAGGCACGCAGCCTTTTGGCTAACTTTCCCGTCTTATTCTGCATGGTAGCCCCTAAAGAGCGTAAATTTATAAAGAGGCGACATCTTATCCATTTGACAGGTCTTCTGCTCGATTGGAATGTCTTTTCTTATGACTTTGACAGATAATCGGTTGTTCCAATTTTTACATGTCGTCTCTTTATAAATTCAGGCTCTTTAGTAACCCAATAATGACTACAAAGAAAGCATTTTCGAGGGAAACTGGGCCTACCCTTTAAATGAGTAAAATTTTAACCATTTATGAGTAACTACAGCTACAAAAATGAGTAGTAAGTATTGATTTATGAGTAACAAATTCTTATGAATGGTAAACTTTTTACTCGTTTATTGGATAGTCCCAGTTTCCCTCGAAAACGCTTATATTGAGTCTTGTATAGCCATTATTGGGTATTTTGCGGTTACCGTGAATGACAAAACAAAATCCAGATCTATAATTTTTTTGTTTGTTCAAGAATCTTGATGCATGTTTAATTTTCTAGTCCAAATTTCCCAAGTCCTTCAAAATTTGTTTTAGGTGCAAAATCATTAAATTTTTGCGAAAGCCGCAAGATCGATCGTTATTCCCAAGTAAAATTTCTGGTTTTATGAGGGTTCTGTAGACCATGATGTAAACTAGTAAAATGCTATAAAGCTTTAATAAAACTTGCAATGTTGCTTTGGTTCGGCTTCATTGTTTATTAGACCGAATATTGGAGAGTAAAGATTAAAACATTTCAGAACCGTGAAATTTTTTTGAAGATCACAGGCTTCGAAAAATGTGTAGGGAACCTGGAACCTATTAAAACGATAAGAATTCTATTTTTTTTTTGGTTTAGTTCAGAATTTAAGACTTGAAAAGATTTTAGAGTTAAAAATTCAAAACTTGTAACTTGGAGAAATTTCAACTTGGAGAAATTTCAACTTGCAGAAATTTCAACTTGGAGAAATTTCAACTTGGAGAATTTTCAACTTGGAGAAATAGGTTCAACAAAAATATTTCCGGATGTTGAATAAAATCGAAGACATCATATCAAGAAGACTGGCAACTTTGCCAGAATCCAAGCGACAGATACAGTAGCGCTGCACTTGAACGAACGTAGAAGCAAGAGGCTGTTCATAAACTACGTAGACCGATTAGGGGGGAGGGGGAGTTGACAATTATCCACGGCCCATACAAATTTTAAAAAAATATGTATAGACGATTGTCTACGCATGGGGAGGGGGGTCCAAAAACTGTCTACGTAGTTATTGAACAGCCCCCAACGCATAGAAAAATTAGCAAATACACAAATCTTTTTTTTTCTGAGGATGTAATATTTGCTATCAAATGATGATGATGATGGTGATGATGATGATAGTCGCACCTCTTACCCCTACAAAGGTTTGAGCTGGACGATTAATCTTTAAGATAATTAAATATGACATTTTAACCAGGTTAGCAAACAAAATCAAACTGGTTACAGTTACAGATGTAAATTCCCTCTAGAGTTTACAGTTGCTTCACAGTGATATAAATGTGAAAAAACTTAGGCGTCCCTCCTTTTAGTTCGCCTTTTTGTCCACCTAAAATATTTATGAGTATTACAAGCGATCAAGATTTAATGAACAATCATCAAATGCTATCATATTTCAGCAATTTCAGGAATGCTCACGAACTCCCGACATTTGCCAGAAAACTACTAACTCAAGGTATCTTCCAAACAAGCTTCACAATTGCATTTTTTTTTATCAAATTTAAATATTCGTTCGAAGTATTTACCTTTTAGCGGCAGATGACGTGCTTGTACCTGTATCATAGCGGTCGTACGAGAAAATGGTAGAGTTGTCAGTCTTCTTGATATGTTGTCTTCGATAAAATCCTTATTAAGAAAACGCTCAAAGGAAATTCTTAACTGAGTTTTAAACGAATCGCTAGAACATTTCCAAGGAAACCGAATTCTGATGATATGTCCAAAATAATTCGGATTATGATTCCAAAATAATCGAATAAAATGGATGTTCTTAAAGAAGTTTTGTATTATGAATGTTCACACCAAAAGTTGGTCGTGAAAAAAAATCGTTTCAAAAAAATAATAAAGTAAGTCCATTTAAAGTCTTGCATATCTCGTGGGATATCAATATATATCCAGCATTAAGCCGGCGTATCTAGGTGTTACATTCAACTGAGAAAACTTTTTCTAGGAAATTTGACTTTTATAGGAAATTTGGCTTTTTTTTAACTATACTTTATTTTGTTCGATTTTTTTTAATCTGCTTTTCAAGTTTAAATCATTGTTCAAATATTTGTTTTAACCGATATTAAAACGGTTGAGCAATAAGAAAGATACCTTTGTCCAATATAATAAATGAATTTTATTGACAATTATTTGTTCCACCTTCATCGACCATTTTCGCCTGGTTAAAAAAAAAACTTAAACTGACCAAAAACTGCTTAATTGAAGTCTAGTGGCTTTGTACTATTCGATGAAAACAAAAAAATATCTTGGAGCACTATTCATCACTAATTGCAGGGCCCGGCCCCGAAGATACCTTCATGCCAAAGGTCAAGAGTTCAATTCTCAATCCCGGATAAGATACGAATGGGCCA